TTGGTCAGCATCAAACCACAATTTATTATTGCCACTGTCATGTAACCACTCAAGATGAAAGTGGTTACGCTGCGTACCATCTCGTACGTACTGTTATTAGGTTCTTTTGCACAAATTTATAGAAGTGACAATCCCTCCTCCCCCCTCCCACCACAAGGGGAAATAACGCCAAAGTTTGTTCTAACCTGCAGCATTGTAGTGAGAGGGCGATACGGATGGTAAACTACAAGACAGCAGTCGAGCATTTCGACCAATATGAACTCAGCATCATATAGACCACTATTTTTCGACGATGCATCGTATGTAAGGTTAGGCCATTTTTTCAGACAATTGGGGATTGTTTTGATGAGATTGGACATGGACATAAGACCGTGTTCCTCAACCTAAAATTAAGCGATAAATATTTCTGACCAGGAAAGGTCAACAGGTCAGCCTGGCCATTTCCAATGAGCTGCACACCGTTGTACGCGTCTTGGGACAGTGAACTCAAATCTACCTTCAGAATTTGCGGAACGATTCTCTGAACGGAGTTGGAGGGTCTTATCCCCGCGTGGTCGTTTCACATGCTATCGCGAGGAAACGTGGAAGCGTCTTTACATTTATGTATGGAGTCATGCTGAAACGTGGTAGTAGAGCGCAACGGGTAGGGAGCGGGTTTCTTAGGCGAGACGTCGTAGGATCGGTTCCGGGGCAGATCTTTTTTTGCATTTGTCCAAGAACATAGCCGACAAAGCTTCTAACATCTCTGCTCGCCTGCACTACCCTATAAGGGAACCTGCGATCAGTTTTTTTTTTTGAAAGTGTAGACCCATTGTGGCCTGAAAGAGTGCTTCTGCTTGTACCCCTCGTAACACGTGTCACAAGGGTTTTTGCAATGAAATACCATCATATTCATGTTCAGCGGGTTAAATTACCCCTGGGGACAAGTTTCTAGCCGAATCTGATTTTCGACCTCACTTGGAAAATGTGGGCTATTCCATGGGTAATTAGCAGCAGATTGGAGCTCACCTACCATCGATGACTGGTCTCGGAATGGAATTTCCTCCAGATAGCCAGAAAATGATTGAATGCAGACGTCACAAATAAGTAAGCCAGGTACTGTTGTTTGCGAAAAGACATGACAGAAGAGTTAACACTCGAAATCCCTGACATCGGGTAGGCGGAGCATTCGAACACTGTAAGGAACTGGTGGCGCTGTTTGTCGACGGTAGGGGGGGGGAGGGATTCTGCTTTCCACAGATGTGCCGACCCAACTAGGTAGCCTTTTCTCGAGTTGACACGTTTTAGGATGGTGGACTAGACGATCCTGCACCAGCTTCACAAGGGTTCACAAGTTTTACCAGGGTGAGATTTGTGAACCGGAACTAGGGAAGCAATGGTAGTAAAAAATGCCCCCCCCCCCGTCGACAAACAGCGCCGGAACTGGTTAATAGTGGAATATTCCAGCCTGGGACAACGGTCATGTTGTTCTCTGTTGGACAGAGACACGACAACGATTGTGTCGAGACGAAAATATCGCATCAGAAGCGTAGACGCCTTAAGGGTAAGTTGAAACATGCGGACCACGCCTACCCGATCTCAGGGATCTCGAGTGTACAGCTCGAAGACCAGCCATTACCAGTATGCGACCAGCCATTACCAGTATGCTACTCATAGTATCGCTGTTAGCTATCAGTCAGCCATGACATGACTATCCATGCCCCAGTTTTTTTTCGAATTTGAGTCGGAACCTCAGACTTCGCTAAGGTGACGTCCCTAGGGGTTATTTGACCCCCTGAACACGAATATGATACCTGTTTTGCGCGAAGAGCGCTGTGAGTCGCGCTACATGTGCCAACGCTTCGGCGCCAGCGCGCCCGTAAGAAGAAAAACCTCTCTAACTCCGCTCAGAGAATCGTTCCGCAAATTTTGAAGATAGTTTTGAGTTCACCGTCTCAAGACGGGTACAACGATGTGCATCTCATTGCAAATGGCCAGGCTGACCTGTTGACCTTTCCTGGTGAGAGAAATTAGTGACAGACCTAGTTACCAAGGTCCGTCATGAATATAAACCAACCTTTGACGCAAGGAACACGGAAGCACAAGCAATAAGAAGTGGATCAACATCTTTATAAGAGCGTCGAGCATAGAAACGTTTGAAATAAACGATTGCAGTTGCAATTACCTGAAGCAGTACCGACGATTACAGATAGAAGTGCAAAGAAGCATAAAGAAATAGTTCAAGTTTCGCAATAGAACCTGCATTCGTGTTTTCGGATGGCCTTGCTGTATGCCTTCAACGGCAAGGGTCTGTATGAGATTTGCCCAGAATATCATTAACTTCTGGTACTCCTCTTCGGTATAAATCTGCAATATCTTATTACCATTTCTCACGAGCAAACTTCCAAACTGCAAAAGCTACTGCATTATAGGGACCCAGCCTGGTAATTTATTCACATAGTAGCTGTTTCGTGGCATGATTATGAACCAGGTATAAGAGGTAAACCTTACCAACCAAGGGTATATTCTGCGAAAAGGAAGCCTAAGGACAGCTTCTCGAGAATTTCCTCCAAAAACGACAAGCCTGTCTCAGTACTAAAAATTTCTTTGAACGAAGTTGAAAGTTCTTTTAGCAATATATTTCCAGTATATCTTCTGCTTGGAAAGGTTCCACTAGTGGCTTCTATAACCACAACCGGTTTAGAGTGTAAGTATGTCGAATCGACATCAAAGGTTTGAATTTTTCCTCTTGTTTTTACTGCAGACATTTTTGAGTTATCTTCGGCAAACTATCCATCACGAAAGTTCACTTCATTTTTGCTCAGTCGCAGTTTTCTCCGTGATGTGTTACCCACCACCTTTCAATTTTTTTTACTGTGATGCTCCTACTCGTGAATTCGAGATTAACTT